GCACTTTGCTGTAAACTGTGTCATTGTAGTAGTTCAGTTGCGCCATTGATGGGTACCTCATCAAGTTACATTCAAGCATTGCTGAATGCAAAACTTTAGTATCAGAAGTCGTAATTGACACTTTACATAGTTCTACCGTTAAGGTGGTAATTTCACGGGCGTCGCTAGAGGGGTGTGGGGGTTTTGGTCGGCTAAATCGTTGTCCTGCAAGCAAAATTGTGTGTCCAATCGTGCGTCTGTGTGAAGATGTTTTGAAGCCCCCTCCCCCACCCCTCCCAGTCTCCCTCCCCTACTCCCCACTGTTTGGAATAGCAAAGGGATTCGTTCGTGAAGAAAAATTACATCTTTTAGCACAACTGTTGACAAACTTGTTGTCACAACCCCCCCCCCCCAATTCAAAGAGGGTTGGCGAAATTGGCGAAATACATGAGGCATAGTGACAATGGTTCCGTAGTAATGCTTGCTTGTGAATTTTTCCTCCCCAATTCAGATCTTATAACTGCGTTTCGATAATACCAAAATGTTCAAATGTATAGACTCATCCGGGCACTATCACTTATATCACAACGCCCCCCGTCAATGGCGAAAGTATTATGCTAGCTATTGTTCAGCTATTCCATCACGGGGCAGTTGCTTTGTACAAAATTGTGCATATTTCTTTTTCCATTGAAGGGGCCCCGCGAGTGTAAAGTGATCACGTACACGGGTTCGTCTATATGCATGCAATTCAATAGCACCAAGTGCAACGAACATCCGCATAAATCACGGCCAGTGTACGTCATGTTTCAATCCACCAATCAGAGGTTGTCACCCAACAAATCGGTGATCACAAGCAAGTGGTCTGTGATTGACATGTTGTGTGTGTCAATCACATATCACGTGTTTTGGATGTGTCACCGACATAGCGCTCAGTCCACCAATAAGATGCGGCTATTTCAGTGTCGGTGGTACACTTTTTGATCGTGAGTATATAGCCTCAACGGCAAAAGCATTATCGTCAGTCTCATTAATACGAAGCAATTTAGTGATTTGAGATTGACAGCGCGCAGGGGCCAATCACAAACCGGGCCAAGCCATTAAGTCACTGATCAGGAAATAAATGGTAATATTTAAGACAGCAGTGGCCACTTCACTCCTCACAACGACTGAAACTCATCTTCACCTTCAGACGAAAACCCGAGAGAGAACTGATTGCAAGAACGACAAGAACGGGATTTACTCGGTGAGTCTTTGAAACAATAATCTATCCCTGCGCGAACTAACAATTGTTGCCTTTTTGCACATAGCGTTTGAATCAGCGTCGGATCTAAATTCGGACACAATCATTTTTCGAACAACGAGCGTTCTATCTGTATTCCAAAGAGTGAAATTAGGGACTAGACGTTTTAGAGTGAAAATCCCTCTCATTTTTGATTGAAATAGTCTGGAAAAAAAAGAACCACTTCAGTCGAAGCTCGAGTGAAAACTCGATCTTTACGATTAAAGACATTTCACTCTAAAACGTCTAGTCCCTAGTTTCCGACTGTGGGAGTGAATCTTCAATCGAATGGAGTGAATTTTCACTCTTCGGAATTTAGAGAGTTGTATTAGGTTTGCTGTTGCCATTTTGTCGAAAGCCCGGCAGTAGGGCAGTGACCGTTCTAACGCTGAATAATCACTTGTTAAGATTATTAATACTTTTAAGAAAATTGCGTTGAAACTTCCCCCATGCGTACTATCCATTATCTGTCAGGAATAACTATTCTAAATAGTATGAATTTTAAATTTGTCACAGGCATGAATAATACCTTTTGAAGCAACTTGTGTTTCCTCTGAAAAGTTTCAAATTTCATTAAAACGAAGGAAGTTTTCTGCTTTACTCCCTTTTGGTGGAAACATTTTGGTGATACGGCTTTCGCGTATACGCCCCTCTGCCAGACACACAACGCCTTCTCTGCAAGCTTGTAAAATATAGTTGCTTGAGGACCAAAAAAACAAGATTTTTAGGAACAAAACTTCATTCAAAACTAATCTTGCGTAACTACGATACTGAATCACGCTTGCGTACAGCCAAACCAGCTCGCTAATATTCAGATCCGCGCCATTAATTTTGGTTCCAACATTTCCTATAGTTACATTCAAACATTGTTGATAAATGTGTGGCTAATTGGAATAAACATTCTTTAGTTTCAATGTTAGAACGCGCAAATATAAAGGGTCAGGATAATCATGCACACAGATTTATTAAAGTCCAATTTGCTTTATCTGGCTGGATTCAATTGTAGAAATCATGTGTAGATTTGTTGTTGGTAAAATTCGTCGCAGAGCTGACAAACCGGCGAATCGACCATTTTGGCGATTTCGATTTTTTGTTATTTTTAGGCTTTATGAAGGTTGCTCTTTCAAGTATTTATGCCAAAATTCTTAATATTTGTCTGGATTTTGAGATTCAGAGCCCCCCTTGTGGCGAATCACTCACAAAAACAAATCCATAATTTGACATAGTGACGAATACGAAATTTCGCTGGTAACCAGCTTATGTAAGGTGTGCGTTCCAAGTACCAACGAATGTTATTCGTCAGTTTGTCGGATTGCGCGTGCGTGCACGCGCGATCCGACAAACTGACGAATAGCATACAAACATTTCGCTGGTAACCAGCTTATGTAAGGTGTGCGTTCAAAGTACCAACGAATGTTATTCGTCAGTTTGCCGGATTGCGCGTGCGTGCACGCGCGATCCGACAAACTGACGAATAACATACAAACAGTGTGAAGAACAACCGGATATTGCAGATTAATGTAATTTGACAAACTGACGAATGCGTTTACGATCAAATAAAACCATATCGCACAACTTCTCTGATTAAATAAGTGACCTGGTGGATACTTAGTTTCATATTTTATTCAGAATATATACTAACAGTTTTTTTATCGAAACATTAAGGGTAAAATACGGCGCCCGGAGAAGTGTCCAACTTCAAACGCGAATTACTCCAAACAAGGTTTTCGCTTATTCGTCGGTTTGTCAGTTCTGCGACGAATTATTCGGCCCTACTGATATGTCTGAAGCACAAGCTCTCGCATGAATTCAGTAATGTTTGCATGAACGGTCCCACTCAGCCTGCCTCTGATATATTTTTGCATTGTTTTGTATAACGGTTTCAACTTTTTTGGTTGCAGTTGGTGGGATTGAATCTTCACTCGAATGGAGTGAATTTTCACTCTTTGGAATTTAGAGAGTATAGTCATACAATTTCTTGGGTATGTTCACGATGAGTTGCTCTATGCATGTATATCTCCGATCGGATTTAACTTACACTTATTTTGTTGGTATATTTGTCATCCAGCAATTTGCTCGAGTGTTGGGGATTTCTTTCGTGATAGATTCAAGACCGTTATTTCCAGGTGAGTGTCTGTTGAAACTGTGGCATTTACCCAATCAAGCATCAGAAAAGAGCGATGATTCGTTAGAAGACTAGTTTCTATGCATTTATTTTGGTAAAATTATGACAGAAACCTTAACTCCATGAAAAAATAAAAGAGAGAAATTTTTGGATCCCTCCCCTACACCTACCATATAATTTTGCCTGAGTTTTACGATATTCTGTGTAAATTATAACTTTTTGAAGGTGAGCACAACTCTTTATTTCAATTCCAAACATCAGGTATTTCCGGCCGAGGTTTTCAAATTGACATTCAAAGTGACTATTCATCAACATGAAAATGAATCTCGCTATGTCATATACAGGGTAAGTCAACAAAAGCGAAACCCAAATGTCGGGACTATTGTTTAATTGAAGTTTCTGCATGTAGCACTTTCAAAATATATGATATGATCACGAAAGTCCTATTCATAAGCCATCTGTTAGTACAAGAAAAATCTAAATCACTTATGTACTTCGCAAGTTACGGAATTTTAAACACAATTACCGTTTTAAAGTTCTGTCCACGGATCACAAAAAAAGGTGTGCGTTCCTTCAGCAAAACGAAAACAATTCACACATTTCTGTCTGTTATTTGTTTTCGTCTTGCTGAAACAACACCTACCTTCTTGTGATCCGTGGACAGAACTTTAAAACGGTACTTAAAATAAAGTACGTATGTGATTTGAACGATTCCTCCACTAAAATAAACCTTATTAATTAGGCTTTCATATCCAAGACTCTGGAGGCGCTACATACACAACTTCACTACAACAATGGTCCCGGCATTTGGGTTTCGCTCCTTATGACTCCCACCCTGTATTAATTGATAATACAATTTTATTGATTCCTTACTAAAGTGTACACGTAACCGGTCTTCGTTGGTATGTTTTTTTAGCCTACACTGAACTCCTTGTGATCTCTTCTTGGACCTGATCTTCAAGAACGAACCATAGAGGTGGGTGTGGTGATGTTTAATTTATGGTTGATATTGAAACCACCCACACCCCCCCCCAAAAAAAAAAAAGCTACGGAAAGCTTCGCTTGATCGGCATGGACTTTGGTGACCTTTCTAACTTTCATCGGCAGGCAAAATAATAACAAAATATATTCAACGGGTTACCCTTGGCAACCGATTCAAACTACGCTTGTTCAAGGTTTAATTCCGTGTCCACTGAATTGCCACTTATATATCATGGCGAACACATTATCTGAATAATGATTTCTCAAATCTCCATAGCTGTGCACGGTTTTTCATATTACCGCAAAAATTCATTACTTTTTGACTTATTCAGTAATTTAAAAGAAAAGATTACTGAACATTTGTCTGTACTTTTACCTATTTCTTAACTCTTTTTACCCCGTTCTCTTTCATCTTTTTTTATTTCATTAATTTTTTTCTGTGCAGCATGAAGATTTTGTGGTTAAACATTATTTCAGTCGCCCTTCTTCTTGGTAACTCTGTCAAGCTCCGAGCTTCCGTTACTGGGCCGGTTCCCTCGGACGGTGATGGTCCTGCGTCTCAGGTGTGTCAGCAGTGCTGCAAGGGGGCCTGCTGCAATACCCGGCATACCAGGTCTGCCTGGGCCAGCAGGACCGATGGGGCCTTATGGTGAACTGGGGTCAAAGGGCGATGCAGGTCAGCAAGGGGAGATCGGCCCGATTGGCCCTTTGGGAGAGCGGGGAGCACCTGGGAACACTGGGTCGAAGGGTGACGATGGGATTGGTCTGCCCGGCAAGATAGGTCCGAGAGGTATACCAGGTAATGTTGGAACAACCGGGCTGACTGGTGTCAAAGGTCAAAAGGGTGAGCCAGGGGTGACACCAGACGACTCCAACCAGCGGGTAGCATTCACGGTTGTAAGGACGAGCAACTCGGATACCTCTACGAGTGACAACACCCGTTTGCCCTTCCAGCAGACCGAGACGCTACAGCCTGGTACCAGCTTCGATCTCGAGACAGGTACATTCACCTGCTATATGCCTGGAACGTACGTGTTTACGTTTTCTGTGCTCAAAAAGTACGACACCAGCAATCTTACCGTTTATCTTGTCAGAAACAACGACAAGGTGGTCTCTACCTTTAGCAATAATGAAAGTTCACGTGACCAACTATCTGCAAGTGCGGTGCTGGTTCTGCAGCGAGCAGACACGGTGTATCTGACTTTACACGGTACGGCGTATAGTCAATCCACTTTTCACTACACCTCATTCAGCGGTTTCCTCCTTTACCCCGAATAGACAAACATGTAACCACGCATAATACATACACGATCACACGCGAGGCCGAAGTTCCAATCGCTCCTTCGTTTACCGGAAACAAATAACCAATGAGCAGGTGTAAATCAAAATTATTTCAATGTTATTAAAGTAATAATAGTCGAATATTTCGATACTTTAGCAGTGTGTAAAAACATAGGGCTCTTAAAAAATCGACATACTAATACTGAACATATAATTACTAGCATATTTGAATGTAGTGTACAATTAGAAAAATGGTCATTAGAGAATGTAAAATCTCGTGTTGTTGGGGTAAATATTACATAGACTGTCAAACATACATTGATATTTCAGTATTATACACATGCATTCTTGTCACTGTTTAATTCTGTGCATAAAATCGATTACAAATCTGACCAGGCATCCGAAGATCAGCTTAAAAGGTCAAAGTGTAATTAGATAAGCATATCAATGTAACGATAATGTGTAAACTTTATTTTCATTGACGAGTACAATCGTTTTGGTTACACGATAATATGCGCTGACAGTGCACGGATCGGTGTGCGCATCGTTGCGGATTGCGTACGTTCTCTTTATAGCTGTCTACGTTTTGTGGTAATATCTGGCCCTCTGGATTCACGTGTAATCACAATGCCAGCATTTGTCCTGTGAAACATGTCCTCAGACTCAATACTGATTTCCCAATGAAACGTCTCTCATCCAAACTTCTGTTAATTGAAAAAGGTGTGTTTCCGGTTAAGGGGTTGTAACAATGGCTTTTCATGAGATGGGCGGAGACACGCCCAAATACAAACTATTATTATTATTTTTCCAAAGCTTGCTTTTTGAATTGCACCACATGACCCATAATATTTCAAATTTCATAATTCAATTAATTATTTCTTGGTTTTTTTTACTTGCCATATTTTAAGTAGTTCTTTTGTAATTGTAGTTCATTTGAGGTTAATTCTTATAAAAACATAGTTCCTTACGATTTAATACCATTTTTTATGGGTATAGCCCATCACAAGTCCACTCAAAGTCATTCGAGGTGCTCAAGGTGCGAGCTACAAAGGAAAGTATAGAGAAAAAAGTTACAAAGAGAGAAGAGATATATTCACACTTAGTGGTTCCAAACACTTTCATAACACACTATTTTTTCAAGAAGAATTTTCCAAGACGTATACTTGAATCGTTTGATGATGTCATGAAACGATACCATCCAAAATCTGCTCTAGTTAACAACTTTCGTACAAGTACTCATGTTTAATCTTTGTTAGATTTATCGTTATAGCTGCTGTAGTCAATAAATTAATCCACACAGAGTCGAAGTTTGTGCGTTCGAATATTTGCTTCTATTTCTTGCAGGTCAGGATAAAACAACTTGAATTTTGAGGCTGGGGTTAAGGTCTGGCGCAGATTGGCTTGGTGGTGGATGGGGTTTGAGGATGGGTTGGATTGAGGGTGGATGGGTTATTAAGGGTGGGTGGGGGACGAGGTGGGCCGGGTTGAGTGGGTGAACAAGTAAAGGGTTGGCGTGGGTTGCAGGCAGGACTATGGTTTAAGGTCTAGATATGGGTAGAAGCGTTGGGATTTAACGTGGGTGAGATCTAGTTTGATTTAGGGGCGGGGACTTCATAGGGATTATCGTGGAGTGGTTGACAATGAGTACGAAAGTGCGACCATTGATTTCAAGCTCAGCTAAGCTCGGCTTACGGACCTGTCTGAAAAAAGTTACAAAGAGAGAAGAGATATATTCACACTTAGCGATTCCAAACACTTTCATAACACTCTATTTTTGAAGACAATTTTCCAATACTTATACTTGAATCGTTTGATGATGTCATGAAACGATACCATCACAAATCTGCTCTAGTTAACAACTTTCGTGCAAGTACTCATGTTAAATCTCTGTTAGAGTTATCGTTATAGCTGTGATAGTAAACAAATTATTGCAAAAAGAGTCGGAGTTTGAGCGTTTCGATATTTGTTTCTATTCCTTGCAGGGCAGAATGGGGTTAAGGTCTGGCGGGGATTGGCTTGATGGTGGATGGGGTTTGAGGATGGGTGGGATTGAAGGTGGATGGGTTATTAAGGGTGGGTGGGGGACGAGGTGGGTCGGGTTGAGTGGGGGGGGGAGCGAATATGGGTTGGCGTGGGTTGCAGGGGGTAGGCTGGACTATGGTTTATGGTAAAGATATGGGTAGAAGCGTTGGGATTTAACGTGGGTGGGATTTAGTTTGATTTAGGGGAGGGGACGTTCACAGAGATTATCGCGGGGTGGTTGACACTTATTTAAAAGCTAAGCTAAGCTCAGCTTACGGACCTGTCTGACCAACTAGCTCTCAGGGGCAGGGGGTTCGCTTCAGTGGGGGTGGGAGAGGGGTGAGACACCCAGCTCATTTGATTCGGGTGATTCACAATGCAGTGCGCCACCAAGAGTTTGCCCATGATGGAGAGTCAATTGTTCAAGTTTACGGTCGACAATACATGGCCCATTTGAATGAGTGTCAATAGACAACTTGAGGTAAAAAGTTATAGATGGGGCATAGCGTTCTGCCACCTTACAACAACACCGTACTGATAAAAATTAAAGAAAAGGCCAAACAGATCCTCGAATCGTACGCCTGCAAAAGTACTGACCTGAAATACTTACAATTTCAAATGCCCACGCTGCGAATTTGTCGACCATCTCCCACAATGCACTAGGAAAAAGTAACTTTCCTTGGCAAACTCTTGGTGGCGCAATGCATTGTGAATCGCCCGAGTTGCAAAGTGGTCTTGTCGGCAATCCGTTCAATATAAACAGCTGGACAATTACTTTCATAGTTGGCGGAAGTGGGGGTGGGAGAGGGTTCATCTCCCCACCTACGTTTTGATTTTTCTCCCACCCAATTTTGGATACCTCGTTAAAGAGACGCTTGAATTGTGCGCCCCCACGTCCAGTACCGTTCCGCAACGACTGAAACTATACTCCGCAGTCATTGCCGTTGTAAGTGATGTGCGCCTCCCCCTTCTCCCTTCCCCCTGATTTATCTCCTTTCCCTCCCATTCTGCCCACACCCATTTTTTTTGAGAACAAGTAAAAAATATCAGGCCGCAGATTTCAAAGACTGAATCAAACCTGCGAGTTGCAATATTATGCAAAAACTCAGCTCGAGTACTCCAGCACTAAGCCAGACTGGCAAGGCACATTTCCATTTGCTTTAGTTCACTGTTAGACTCCGGCCTTGACTGTGACCCTGAACACCTCACAGGACATTCCACAGTCCCAATCGTCCTTCATCATCACGTTAGATCCCATGCCGCAGATCTCAACCGCGGACTAAGCTACACACCCGTTGCCGTCGTCGACCGGGCCTTAAATCTGAGGGGTGGGGATGGGGATATCACCCGCCCACACGCCTTTTGGACCTGGAGGAGGGGAGGCCGAAGGGCCATCGGATCAAACCGTCTTCCCCCCCCCCCCACACACACACACCTTTGTAAAAATCGGCAATCGATGACCCCCTAGCTATTGTCTCCGATCCTCATTTCTTTGTTTGTACTTAAACTTTTCAGCAACAGCTCTTATGGGTTTTGTACACGAATTTCAATCGTTTGAATTTGAAATTATGAAGAAAAAAACACTCTATCCGACTGGCACTAGGAACAAAGTTACATTAACATTGTTCTTTTGTATCTATACGCCAATTTTTACTAATTAGAAATATAACAATATGGGGTTATCGCTTTCAATCATGCAATTAAATTTAACATTCTGACCATACAGCATCTTAAAGTCTCATCATTGAGTGATCACTTAAGACAAACTATTATCTGGCAAGGGTACTGACATAAACAAAAGCACAGTAAAATCTAACCTTTAAGTGATCACTTATAATGTGCTCTTGAACGAGTGTGTGTGCCTTAAATAATGATGAGACTTAGCGGCCTGGACCACTCATACAAGTGTGTATTTGCTTGCAATAACTGTGTGTTTACATCGCGACTGGCCAGAAGTCGGCGCACGGTGAGCAGTGTTGATGCAGCGCGCCCTCTTTTGGAAGCAATTGATGATGATAAGACGGAGTGTCCGAGGCTTACGCTGCAACTCTTTAAATAATAACAAATTCTTCTTTCACGGTTTCTGTCAATGTGAGTAGTGTTTATATTACTGACACATTACAGCAAAAAAAAAGTGTTCCCCTAATCATTCTACACAAAACCCCAAGCGCTGCGGTTTGTAATTGTGCACAATCCTTGTCAGACGGCCTATCACACTCAATTGACTACGGCATTGCTGAAAAATAATGTCACTATTTCTCCATGTTGTGGAGGGACCAGTTTTCAAGATACCTACTTTTCTGCTTTGGTGATAATAGGGTCGTCTTTTTCGGATGAAAATCTCTCAAAAGGCAATGATCAACCTACTAAAAAGGAATAAAAAAATGAAAGATGACATGTTGATTTTTTTCTGTGCAGCTTAAATACATGTGAGAGTTCTGCGTGTGTTTTTTAAAGAATTTTGAAGTATGGGCATTTTACACTTGTGTCTATAGGAAATTTAATGCAGAAGTGCATCCCGACGGAGCTGTTGTCACGTTGCGCCCTCTGTCGTTGTCCGGACGTTCATTTCCCTGTACTGCTGGACAAGAATCAAATTGAGCTGCGAAATATATGAACCAATCATGGTTTTGATTTTAATATATTAGCTGGTAAGTCATGGTGGTCAATAAATCCAGAATATAACATGCTGGTGTAATTTATTAAACCTATCCCCGGTGAATCGCTATGCGGAAGTTGGTCATAACTTGAAGAGACCTATTCCGGAAATGCGGACATGTCAAACTTCCTTTACAAACCCATTACATGTTACACTTTGCTGTATCCAACTGTGTCATTGTGGTAGTTCACTTACGCCATTGTTGGGTACCTCATCAAGTTACATTCAAGCAGTGCCAATCAATTCAAAACTTAAGTATCTGAAGTCTGAATTGACAATGTACATAGTTCCACCGTTGGAGGGAGGTAATTTCACGGGCGTCGATGGAGGGGTGTGGGATCGTGACACCACCCATTAGTTTTGGTCGGCTAAATCGTTGTCCTGTAGGCAAAATTGTGTGTCCAATCGTGGGTCTGTGTGAAGATGTTGTGAAGCCACCCTTCCCTACCGCTCCCCGTCCCCTACCTCCCCTTCCCACCTTCACTGCCCCCCTCGTTTTGAATTTGCAAAGGGATTCGTTCGTGAAGAAAAATTATATCTAGCACAACAATTGTCTGTTGGCAGACTTGGCAGATTTTTTTTCTCCCGAAATCAGTTCTAGCATAACTGCGCTAAGATAACACCAAAAGTTCTTCTTCTTCTCCCAATTGAGTGCTAACTTCATAATTGAAGTGCTAACTTCCTAATTGAAGACTACAGCACTTGTAGGATGTTCATATGCATATGTTCATATGCACAAAGTTTGGAAACAATCAATTTTGTCACGATGGCCCCCTTCGATGGCGAAAGCGTATACTAGCTATTGTTCAGCTATTCCGTCACGGGGCAGTTGCTTTGTACAATAGCGTGCATAACCGTTTTTTTTTCCATTGAAGCGGCCTTGCGAGTGTACAGTGATCACGTACACGGGTTCGTCCATATGCATGCAATTCAATAGCACCAAGCGCAACGAACATCCGACTAAACCACGGCCGGGGTACGTCATGTTTCAATCCACCTATCTGAGTGTTTCGCCCAACAAGTCGGTGATCATAAGTGAGTGGTCTGTGATCGACAGGTTGTGAGTGTCAATCATAAATCACGTATTTTAGATGTGTCACCGACATCCATACAATATCCACCAATAAGATGGAGCTATTTCAGTGTCGGTGGTACACGTTTTGATTGTGAGTGTAAATCCTCAACGGCAATAACATTATCTTCCGTCTCATTAATATCAAGCAAAGTCAGTGATTTGAGATTGACGACAGCCCGCATGGGCCAATCACAAACCAGGCCAGTCACTGCTCAGGAAATCGACTGTAAGATTTAAGCCAGTAGTGGCCGCTTCACCCCTCACAACGACGCAGCTCAATTTCACCTTCAGACGACAACCCGAGAGCTAGCGAGAACTGATTGCTAGAACGACAATAACGGCATTTACTCGGTGAGTCTTTGAAACATTGATTTTTCCGTGAACAAATACACTTGTTGAAGTTGTTGCCTGTTTGCAAATAGTGTTTGAATCAGCGTCGTATTTAGATTCTGATTATTGTTGCCGACACAATTATTTTCCGAACAACGAGCGTGTACAGGGTAAATCAATAAAAGCGAAACCCAAATTGTTTAGTAAAGTTCTGCAGCCCAATTCATAAGCTTTCGTTTAGTACAAGAATCATTCAAATCACTTATGTACTTTTCAAGTAACGGAATTTTAAACACAACCATCGTTTTAAGTTCTGTCCACGGATTACAAAAAGGTGTCCATTCTTTCAGCAAAACGAAAAAAATTCACACACACACATCTGTATGTAATTTGTTTTTGTTTTTCTGAAAGAACACTTACCTTCTTGTGATCCGTGGACAGAACTTTAAAAGTGTGGTTGTGTTTAAAATTCCGTAACTTGAAAAGTACATAAGTGATTTGAATTATTCTGAAGAAAGCTGATGAATTGGACTTTCGTATCCTAGATTGTGAAAGGGATACATGCAGAACTTCACTTAAACAATGGTCCCGACATAATTTGGGTTTCGTTTTTTTTTTACACACCCTGCATTAGGCTTGATATTTCCATTGTTTCGAATGCCAGGCAGAAAGGCATGCCGTTCTAACGCGGAATCACTTGTTGAAAAAATTGCGTTGAAAGTTCCCCCACGCGTACTATCCATGTTAGCACAACTCTTTATTTGAAGTACAAACATCAGGTATTTCCGGCACAGTTCTTCAAATTGACATTCAAATTGACGATTTATCAAAATGAAAAAGGATCTCGCTTTTGTATCTATCAATTAATAATACAATTAATATTGAGCCCTTATTTACTAATGTGTAAACGTTACCGGTTTTCGTTGGTATGTTTTTCAGCCTACACTGAGCTCCTTGTGATCTCTTCTTGGACCTGATCTGCAAGAACGAACCATCGAGGTGGGTGTGTGGATGTTTAATTAATATTAATATTGATACCCCCCAAAAAAATTAAATAAACAACTTCCGGAACGCTTCGCTTGACGGCATTACCTTTGGTGACCTTTCAAAAGTTTCATCGGCATGCAAAATAATAACAAAAGCTATTCAATTGGCTTCCCAAAGTTGCCATGACAACCGATTTAAACAAAAAACGACGCTTTTTAATAAGTTTTAATTCCTTGTCCACTGATTCGCCACTTAAACATCACGGCGAACACATTTTCTGAATAATGTTTTCTCAAATCTTTAGCTATGCACGGTTTCTCAAATGACCGCGAAATTCATTACCTTTTTACTAATTCAGTAGTTAAATACTAAAAATAACTGAATATTTTTCTTTACTTTTACCTATTTATTAACTCTTTTCGCCCCGTTCTCCTTCGATTTTTTGTTAAATTTTATCTATTTTTTTTTCTGTGCAGCATGAAGATCTTGGGGTTAAACATTATTTCAATCGCCCTCCTTCTGGGTAACTCAGTCAAGCTCCGAGCTTCCGTTACTGGGCCGGTTCCCTCGGATGGTGATGGTCCTTCCACTCAGGTGTGTCAAATGTGCTGCCAGGGACCAGCGGCAATACCCGGCATACCAGGTCTGCCTGGACCGGTGGGACAGGTGGGACAGGTGGGACCCAATGGCCCACCGGGGTCAAAGGGTGAAACAGGTGAGACGGGACCTATTGGCCCTATGGGTGAGCGGGGAGCACCTGGGAACTCTGGAACTAGAGGAGACGACGGGGTTGGCCTCCCTGGCAAGATAGGACCGAGAGGTCCACCGGGTTTAGTTGGTGTTAAAGGTCAAAAGGGTAAGCCAGGGGAGACTCCAGATGTCTCCAACCAGCGGGTTGCATTCAACGTGAAGAGGACGAGCAGATTCACCTCTTCGAGTCACGGCACCCGTTTGCCCTTCCAGGAGACCAAGACGCTTCTGGCGGATACCAGCTTCGATCTCGGAACCGGTACGTTCACCTGTAATGTACCGGGCACCTACGTGTTCATGTTTTCGGTGCTCAAACCTTCCAGCAGCAGCCTTTGGGTTCATCTCCGAGAGAACGAGGACATAGTTGCCTCTGGTCATAGCGATGATTCGGGTCCCTCTGAGCAGGTGTCTGGGAACGCCGTGCTTGTTCTGCAGCGAGAAGACACGGTGTATCTGACTATGTACGGTACTGTGTATCATGACTACACCTCATTCAGTGGCTTCCTCCTTTATCCCGCATAGACAAAAATAACTGAACCACGCATAATACACAAAATTATACGCATTGCCGAACTTTTAATAGCTCTTTTGTTTAAAAATAAAAACAAAAATGATTGAGGAGGCCTAAGTGATTTTTTTCAATGTTTTTAAAACAATTTAATTGATTATTTTGTTATTTTATTAGTGCATACGCAGATCGGTAATACGGTATTGGAATAACTTATGGTTTGAGTGCTAACGCTGAATTAGTGTATATTGAAAACAAATCTTACAGCTTACAAAATACTGAAATTAACGATATCGGTAGATAAAAAGATAATACATTCTTTATCGTTTCATCTTTTTCAAACGTTGGTTGTAGATCTACGATAATGTAGAAGCAGAAGAAGCGGTCATTAAAATAGTTGTTTGAATAAAGGCAACATTACAAATGTTTAATTTTGTATTATTTTGGAGAGATACGTCTGTCACGTATTAGGCATTCATGATTTGTTTCATTCTTTGCATGAAATTAAAATGGTCAATTTAAATTATAAAAAAATCAGTATCAATGTTAATGGTGTTTGCACGACTGAAATTATTTTGGTAGCACGTTCAGATTCCTTAAATCGCACATTACAGGGTGAGTAAAAAAAACCGAAACCCAAATGTCGGGACCATTGTTTTAGTGAAGTGCTGCATGTAGCACTTTCAAAATCTAGAATATAAAAGTCCAATTCATGAGCTTTCTGTTAGTACAAGAATCATCCACATCACATATGTATTTTTTATGTTACGGAGTTTTAAACACAACCACCGTTTTCAAGTTCTGTCCATGGATGACAAAAAGGTGTGCGTTCTTTCAGCAAAACGAAAACAATTCACACACATCCTTATGTGATTTGTTTTCGTTTTGCTGAAAGAACACTGAACTTTTTTGTGATTTTTTGTAACAAACGGTCCTCGATCGTTATTGTTTAGTCTGTTAGGATGTGTTATATTACAGGGACAAAGGGGAAACACAAAGCATTGTCCTCGAGCTTATAGAAAGTCACTACTATGATTGTGTTCTCTTAGGTATGCATTTTTGTTGAAGGATCATGCCTTCTGGATCTACCACGCTCACAATGTCAGCATTTGTCATAAGAATCATGTCCTCGGACACCGCCCAAGTTTTCAAATAAATGTCTCTCATCCATACATAAGTGCATTGAAAAGGTGTGTTTCTAGAAAAGGGACTTCAGGTCTATTCTTAGGTAGGCGGGGACACGCCCCTATAATTATCGTTGGAATATTAATTAAAGAAATTGCATGCTAATTCCAACACATGGTCCCAGAATATTCTCAACAAAGTAGTTACTCACCTCGTTTTTTTCATCCCATATTTTTATTGCATCTGTAAATTGCCTTTGAAGGTTTACTTCTTATAAAATCATTGTTTATGATTGCATGCAATGTTGGTTCATAAACTTGACACTGCGTGTATTACAGAAATATAGAGAATGTTTCCAACGCTTGCTTGTATTAACAATGTAACACGTCTAAGAAAAGTGTTCATTAGCCTCTAGTACATTTGATTATATCGCTCTGTTTGACAACTTAAATAATCTACTTATAATGTGATAAGTATCGCATATAACTACTTAAAAATAATAGCTTTTAATACTACGAAAGCCTATCCTCTTATTTTAACACTTTGGCTAAACTACATTCATGTTTTGAAACTTTTGTAATAGTACGCTGTGTTTAGAACAATGTAATCGAATTTGGTTGGTTGGTTGGCCACATAAGATCCAATGGGGATCATGCTACCGCTCCTTGGACTGATTGTTTTCGGCGCGCCCGTCCTTCCTTGCGCTACTTCTTCTTCGCCGCATCTGCACCCTCATGGACTGCTTTCCGTCACGCTCCCCTCACAGCAGTGTCGTAGGTCGTCCCGTACGCGGTCTTGGATACGGAGTAGAGGTCTTCCACGAACTCGGGCTCCAGTGCTGACTTCGCTGAAACGTGTCCTCTTGGGAAGACGGTCTTGCGGCATCCTACAGACATGTCCAAACCATCTGAGCCGGCGCTATGTGAAGATGGTATGCATGCTTGTACATTGAGTGCGCTGCAGAACCTCTGCGTTTGACACTCGGTCCCACCACTTGACACCTAGAATCCTCCTCAGATTGTGCAGGTGGAAGCTGTTGAGCCTGGTGAGACTGCAATCTTTGTCTTTAGCCTAAGCTTCTTGTTTGCCCACACACGCCTCCTGAGTTGTCCAAAGCAGCCCGCAGCTCGTACAATGCGGCTGTTGAGGTCTGCCTCCATGCTGGCCATACTTGAGATGCAGGACCCGAGGTAGCAGAACTCATCTACCACTGCTATCTTTTTCCCGTTAACCAGGAACGTCTGCAGTGCTGCCTGGTCTTCTACTTCCTGGCACATGACGACCGTCTTTGACTCGCTGATCTTGAGTCCAAAGACTGCACAGGAAGAAGTGAAACGATCCAACAGGGTCTGAAGATCATCTGCCGTGTGAGCAAATAGAGCGGCATTGTCAGCGAACAGGAGGTCAGTAACAGTAGAGTGAGACACCTTGGTCTTGGCTCGAAAGCGCTGCACATTGAAGAGCCCCTCATCGAAGCGAGTGTGCAAGTATACCCCCAAGGTGTTGTCGTCGAAGGCATGATGAAGGAGGTATGAGAAGTAGATGTTGAAGAGACATGGCGCAATCACACAGCCCTGCTTCACTCCGCATCTGACAGAAAAACTGTCCGACACGTCGCCGTCGAAGGAGATGGAGGCTTCCATCCCATCATGAAATGACTGGACAATCTTGAGCAACGTCGGTGGACAGCCAATCGTCACAAGCACTCTGTACAACCCAGCTCGGCTTACTGTGTCAAAGGCTTTTGTGAGGTCCACGAATGCAATGTAGAGGTTTACATGGATCTCCCTGCATTTCTCTTCCAGCTGTCGTAGGGTGAACACCATGTCGATCGTTGACCTGTTTGACCTAAAACCGCACTGACTCTCTGGGTAGATGTACTCACCCAAAACTTGAAGCCTCTTAAGCACGAGCCTAGCCACAGACTTCCCAAACACATCCAGCAGGGAGATCCCGCGGTAGTTGTTGCAGTCGGACTTATCCCCTGTGTTCTTATACAACTGTATAAACTGAGCATCCTTGAGACACTGAGGCACCTGCCCACGTTGCCAGTAGCTGACGACCGAACGATGGAGTTGCAGCAGGGTAGGGCTGTGCGGTACAGCCAGGACTTTGATGATTTCTGCTGGTATGCCGTCAGTACCCGTAGCTTTGTTGTTGGAGAGATCGTTGATGGACCTCAAGAGTTCCTCCACAGTGGGGACGAAATCCAGTTCAGACAGACATGGCAGGTCTGGAGGTTGGTCTATTGCTTCAAGATCGATGATGGGTTCACTACCATACAGAGCACTGTAGTGTTCAGTCCATCGTTGGAGCTGCTGGTCCGTGTCAGTGAGGAGATTTCCCTGGAGGTCCCTCAGCGGTGCTACCTTCCTTCTGGTTGGGCCAATCGCAGTCTTGATGCCGTCATACATCTCCCGGAGGTTCCCGGTGTCTGCCGAAACCTGGATCTTCTGGCAAAGGTCCAGCCAGTACTGGTTTGCACACTTCCGAGTTTCCCTCTGCAGATTTTGTCGGGCAGTCTCGAGTCTGGTAAAATTTGAGTGAGTTGACACCTCTCGGTACCTGAGCAGGGCCTCCCGTTTGTCCTCCACAAGCGGCAGCAGATCTTTTGTGAACCAGTCCTTTCCCTCTCGTGGTTGGGATCCAAAGTGCCGCAAGGCCTGCTCATGCACGATCAAACTGATGTCCTCCCAATCCTCTCCGCAGGATTCGCTAACTGCCTTGAGGAAGCTGTTGACCTTTTCCGGGTTCTTCGCCCCCTCCCGGTCGGTCCGTTTCCGTCCCGCCTGCTGCGACTTGCTCAGCTTTTTCAGAAAGGTCCGAATCTTGCCGAGGACAAGGCAGTGGTCTGTATCCCAATCAGTAGAACGAATCGCTCTCGTGTGGAGAACCTCCTTAAGAAGGCTCCTTCTGCAGAGAACCAAGTCTAATTGGTGCCAGTGCCGTGATCATGGGTGCTGCCAGGTGGTCACACACGCTGGGCCACACACAACTCCAAGACACGCTGACCATTGTTGTTCATTCTACCGACACCCTGCTAGCCGAGACAGTCGGGCCAGTTCCCATAGTCATTTCCAACTCTGGCATTAAAGTCCCCCAGTACCAACAGCGAGTCTCGTGCTGGAACGTGGCGAACCTCATCCTCCAAGAGTCTGTAGAAGCTGTCCTTCACGTCCTCGTCCGCCTGCAGAGTCGGCGCATATACACTGAGCAGGGTCAAGTAACCGCTTTCAGTGTGAATCCGGATCCTCAGCAGCCGTGGGGAGATGCCCACAGGAGTATCTATGTGCTTCAGCAGGGAGTTCTTGACTGCAAAACCAACACCATGCACTTGAGCTTCTGTTTCACCCTTGCCATTCCAAAATATTGTGCAGTCCTTCTCTTTGATGCTTCCCGTCTCCAACCATCTGGTCTCTGACAGAGCCACAATGTCCATATCCAACCGAGTGAGTTCATTGTTGAGAAAAATTGTCTTCCTAGGTTCAAAATTGTTATCCAAAAGCCGTGGTCGTGGTCCCGTCCAGTTAAGTGTCGTTGGAATATTAATTATAGAAATTCAAGCTAATTCCAACACATGGTCCCAGAATATTCTCAACAAAGTAGTAACTCACCTCGTTTTTTTCCTCCCATGTTTTTATTGCATCTGTAAATTGCCTTTGAAAGTTTACTTCTTATAAAAACATTGTTTATGATTGCATGTAATGTTGGTTCTTAAACTTGACACTGCGTGTATTACAGAAATATAGAGAATGTTTCCAACGCTTGCTTGTATTAACAATGTAACACGTCTAAGAAAAGTGTTCATTAGCCTCTAGTACATTTGATTATATCGCTCTGTTTGACAACTTAAATGATCTACTTATAATGTGATAAGTATCCAATATAACTACTTAGAAATAATAGTTTGTGATACTACGAAAACCTATTCGCTTATTTTAACACTTTGGCTGGACTTCATTCATGTTTTGACACTTTTGTAATAGTACACTGTGTTTGGAAGAATGCAATCGAATTTACAGGGAAGTAAAAGCAAGAAATTGTTTTTGAACTGCAATCGTTTGTCTTTTATGAATGACAACCAACCAATTTGACGCTGACTTGTGAATAAATGAAAGTACTTTTGTTAAATATCTAATTGCTTTCATATTGCAATCATTTTATAGCCAATGGTTTAGTTTGGAATACTTTTGTAGGTGTTGATCTTTGAATTTGTGGCAAGTCAGGATGATCACATTTGGGTCTGGATTCAAAGGTCGACGGAGATTGGTTGACTAGGGTACGTGGGTTTGAGATTGGAATATGGCTTTGAGAATAAAAGCGGGTTTGAGGTTGTGGGGTTTAAGAATGAGGGTTTCTGGAAAGTGGGTTAGGGTTAGGGTTGAGAGTAGGTTAGTTTTGAGGGAGGAAGGGGACATGCCCATGTTTCCACAAAAATATTTTTTTTAAACAAAGTTGTCTACTTATCGAGTTTTTAAAAATCTTTACTGTGGTTTCTGTGCAAACGTGAGGCAAATGTTCTGTTTGGACTGCGACTTCAGCCTATCGCCAAATCGATTTCCAAGTTGCGACACAAGACGCTGTTGAGAGAGAGAAAAACAATAATTTGTCTAAATCTTCTTTCTTGTTTGTCCACTTGTTTATGACCAATCAGCTGGCCGCAAATTCATACAGCAGGTCACTTAATATTTGAGATAGCAGCTGGACTATCGTTTCTGAGCAAATGTAAGGCAAATGTTTTGTTTGGACTGCGACTGACTATCGCCAAATATCTCCGTGTTGACAAAAGACACTGTTAAGGAAGAGAAAAACAATAATTTGTCTAAATCTCCTGTCTTGTTTGTGTACTATTCATGACCAATCATCCAGCCACAATTCAATTCAATTCAATGCATCATATGATATAGCTTGTCCAGCTTAACTATCGTTTCTGTGCAAAAATAAGGCAAATGTTCTGTTCGGACTGCAGCTGCACCCTATCGCCAAGACTATCTCCGTGTTGCAACACAAGACACTGTTGAGGGAGAGAAAAAACAATAGTTTGGTCTAAATCTGTCTTGTTTGTCTACATTTCATGACCAATCATCAGGCCACAATTCAATTCAATGATTTTTGAGATAGCGTGTCCAGCCAGCTGGACTTTCGTTTCTGTGGAAAATTGTTCTGTGCAGAAAATGTTCTGTTTGGACAGCGACTGCAGACGCATTGAATTAAATTGTGGCCAGATGATTGGTCTTGAAAAATAGACAAACAAGGCAGAAGTTTGAGACAAAATATTGGTTTTCTCTATCAACTGTGTCTGGTGTTGACAAACTTGTGTGGACACATTGGCAGACTTAGCGATATGCTGCAGTCACAATCCAAACAGAACGTTTGCATTACTTTTCCACAGACCGATATTCCAGGGAGACACGTCCAGTAAAACAATTAAGTGATGCATTGAATTGAATTGAATTGTGGCCAGATGATTGATCATGGAATGTAGACAAACAAGACAGAATATTGAGACAACATATTGTTTTTCTCTCCATCAACAGTGTCCGGTGTCAATACCAAGAAAAACTTGGCGACAGGTTGCAGTCGCTGTCCAAACAGAACATTTGCCTAACCTTTTGCACAGAAACAATAGTCCAGATGGACACGCTAACTCAAAAATTAAGGGATGCATTCAATTAAATTGTTGCCAGATGAGTGGTCATAAAATAGACAAACAAGACAGAATATTGAGCCAAAATCTATATTTCATCAACATATACGACAAGTATTTGATGAATTATTGTTCAAGCAACACAAACGCGTAGATGTTTCTGCTTGATGTCAGGAGTATTTTCTGTACACTGGGACACATTTTATGCAGGTTTTCTCCGTGGTAACACTAAAGGTTTTTGGGGTGACTACAACAATGGTTTCTTAATACTTTAAAGGCTTTATGTACATGTGCTCGACAATAATTAAAAAAAATTCAAACCAGTACAAAAGGTATTTAATAAGTTATTGTTCAAGCAACGCGTAGGCTGTTTCTGCGTGTTCAATAGTCAAGAGTATTTTCTGTACACTGGGACGTCTTTATGGCAGGTTTTCTCCGTGATGACAAAAAAAAAGGTTTTTGGTGATTACAACGTTGGTTTATCTTGATATTTTGTTGACTCTATAATCATGTAATCAACATTAATTAACATAAATTTCAAACCAGTACACCAGGTATTGAAGGGGTTATTGTTCAAGCAACGCGAACGTTGTTCCTGCGTGTTCAATAGTAAGGAGTATTTTGTGTAAACTGGGACGTCTTTATGGCAGGTTCTCTCTGTGATGACAATACAAGTTTTTGGATGAATTTGTTTGATGCTCATGTGCTCAACAACAATGAAAGGAAATTTCAAACTAGTATAACAGCTATTTAATGAGTCACTGTTCAAGCACCGCGTGGGTTGTTTCTGCGTGTTAAATTGTCAGGAGTATTTACTGTAAACAGGAACGTCTATTATGGCCGGTTTTCTCCGTGATGACAAATACAGTTTTTTGGAGTGAGTGCAACTTGGTTTGTCTAAATATTTTACAGGCCTTATGGACATGTACTCAACAATAGTTAAGGGAAAATGCATTCCTGTACGACTTGTATTTAATGAGTTATTGTTCAAGCAACGTGTTGGTTGTTTCTGAGTGTTCCATAGTAAGGAGTATTTTCTGTACACTGGGACGTCTTTATGGCAGGTCCTCTCCGTGATGAAAACACAAGTTTTTTTGGATAAATACAACATTGGTTTTTCTTAGTACATCATAGGCGGTATGGTCATGTGCTCAACAACAATGAAGGGAAATTTCAAACTGGTACAACATGTATTTATTGAGTTATTGTTCAAGCAACGCGTGGGTTGTTTCTGCATGTTTAATAGTCAGGAGTAATTTCTATACACTGGGACGTTTTCATTGCAGGCTCTCTTCGTGATGACAAAAAAAGAAGATTTTTGGGGGGTGAGTGCAATGTTGGTTTGTCTAAATATTTTACAGACCTTATGGACATGTGCTCAACAATAGTTAGAAGAAAATGCAATCCAGTACGACTTGTATTTGATTAGTTATTGTTCAAGCAACGTGTTGGTTGTCTCTGAGTGTTCAATAGTCAGGAGTATTTTCTGTACACTGGGACACAATTTTAATGCAAGTTTTCTCTGTGGCGACACAAACAGGTTTTTGGATGACTGCAACGTTTGTTTGTCTTAATTTTTATATAGACTGTATGGACATGTGCTCGACAATAATTTAACAAAAATTCAAACTATTGCAACAGGTATTTATTGAGTTATTGTTCAAGCAACGCGTAGGTTGTTTCTGCGTGTTCACTAGTAAGGAGTATTTTCTGTACACTGGGACGTCTTCATGGCAGTTTCTCTTCGTGATGACAATAACAGTTTTCTGATGAATACAGCATTGGTTTGTCTTAATACAATATAGGCTTGATGGTCATGTGCTCGACAATAATTGAAAGAAATGTTAAACTGGTACAACAGGTATTTATTGAGTTATTGTTCAAGCACCGCGTGGGTTGTTTCTGCATGTTCAATAGTCAGGAGTATTGTCTGTACACGGGGACGTCTTTATGGCCGGTGTTCTCCGTGATGACCAAAACATGTTTTTTGAGGGGTGAGTGCAACGTTGGTGTGTCTACATATTCTACTGGCCTTATGGACATGTGCTCAACAATAGTTAAGAGAAACTTCAAACCTGTACAACATGTTGTTAATGAGCTATTGTTCAAGCAACGCGTTGGTTGTTTCTGAGTGTTTAATAGTAAGGAGTATTTTCTCCGTTTCGACACAAAAGGTTTTTGGGTGACTATCAGTGTTGTAGTCGAGTACTTGTTTCCGAGTACGGAGTACTGCCGAGTACCTAGGTCGCCGAGTACGAGTACGAGTGCTTCCAAGTACAAGAACAGGTCTCCGAGTACGAGTACTTGAACGTCTGAGTACGAGTACGAGTACTTGTACCTCCGAGTACGAGTACGAGTACGAGTACTTGTATTCCGAGTACGAGTACGAGTACTTGTATTTCTGAATACGGCACCGGGTATATTGTGCTTGAAGCCTAAAATTATGTGTACTGTTAATCACTTGTAAGAGGGTTCGTCTTTGTAGGCTTTTTAATTTTTTTAAAGTTAATTTGTTTTTTTTAAATCGGCAACAGCAGTCTCAAATCAATGTAAATGTATTTTCCAAGGAAATGCTACACAGCTGAGATACAGACATGAACGTTTAGGTCAACTGTCATTTAATAAAACTTAATCTATACAGTGCTGTGCATTTAATTTGTATTATTATTATTCATGTATTTTCGGGTCCTTAGATTCCTCAGACTGAAAAAAACCCTCAAGTACAACAAGCATTCAAATGGCCGAGAAAATATTTTTTTTATTTCTACTTAGTTTCAACCTCTGTTCTTAGT